GGTTTCTCTGTGTAGCTTTGCGCCTTTCCTGGATCTCGCTCTGTAGACCAGGCTGGCCTCGAACTCACAAAGATCTGCCTGCCTCTGCCTCCCACACAATTCCTTTTCTAAACAAAATGTTTTTCATTTTATGCATGTGAATGTTCTGTCTGCACGTATGTAGTTCCAACATGTGCATGCCTGTGTCCTAGTTCAGAAGAGGGCATCATATATCCTGGAACGGAGTTATGTGTAGTTGTGAGTGACCATGTTCATTGCTAGGAACTGAACCCAGGTCCTCTGGAAGAGTAGTCAGGGCTCTTAACTACTGAGTCATCTCTCCAAAGCCATAATATAATGTTTTGATTTTTCCAGACAATTTCTCTGTTAACAGCTCTAGTTGTCCTGGAACTCACTCTGTAGACCAGGCTGGCCTCGAACTCAGAGATTCACCTGGCTCTGTCTCCCGAGTGCTGGGATTAAAGGTGTGCGCCACCACCGCTCGGCGTTAAATGTTTTGTTTTGTTTTTAAAGATTTACTTATTATGTATACAGTGTTCTGTCTGCATGTATGCCTGCAGACCAAAAGAGGGTGCCAGATCTCATTACAGATGGTTGTGAGCCACCATGTGGTTGCCAGGAATTGAACTCAGGACCTCTGGAAGAGCAGCCAGATGCTCTTAACCGCTGAGCCATCTCTCCAGCCCTAAACACATATTTTTAAAGTTTCATTTTGTCTGTATTATGAGAAAACACAACTTGTTTTTATTGACCTTGCTTTCAATGACCTGCTAAATTCACGATGGTAAGCACTTACAGAGTTCCTTTTCGTTTATTAATATCCATCGTTTTGTCAACATATATAGAGGTTCTTCTCCTTTATTGCACACACCCACACACACACTTTTTTTAAAAAACCATATTGGGCCGGGCGGTGGTGGCGCACGCCTTTAATCCCAGCACTCGGGAGGCAGAGCCAGGTGAATCTCTGTGAGTTCGAGGCCAGCCTGGACTACCAAGTGAGTTCCAGGAAAGGCGCAAAGCTACACTGAGAAACCCTGTCTCGAAAAACCAAAAAAAAAAAAAAAAAAAAAACCATATTGGCTAGGAACTGGACATCCTTGTTTCTTTCTTCATCTCCGGGGAAATTATTTCTTTTTAGACACGGTCTCATGTAACAGAGGATTGGGTTGGGATCATAGGTGTGTGCTTGGTTTATGGAAAATGCTTTCAACATTTTCTTGAGAGGTTTGATGTAGGATTTTTATTGATACTTTTTATTAGATTAAGGATTGGCCTTTAGAATCCAGGTTTTCTAAATTAGTTCTTTCTTCGACTCCTCTTCTTTGTGCTGGGTGGGGACAGAACTCAAAGCCTTATGAGAGCACGTGTTCTACTACTGAGCTATAGCCCTAGCTAACCTCAAACTCTGTAAGTACTAAGGATGACCCTGAACTTCTGAACCTCCGGCCACCATTGTCTGAATGTTAAGATTATAGATGTGTGCCACTCTGTTACTTTAAAATACATCATTTTTGAGATAGGATGTCATTATATTGCTCAGGCTGGCTTTGAACTCAAGGATCTGGCTGCCTCTGCCTCCTGAGTGCTGAGATTAAAGGCATGTACTACCATATAATTAAAAAAAAAAAAAAAGCATGGATAGGTGTTAGATGTTTTTTCATCTAGATGATTGTTTTTCTCCTGTTGTGAACTACACTGACTGGCTCTCACAGCCTGAATCAACCTGATATTTTTTAATGAACTGGTTAATCTGATACATTATTTTTATGCACTGCAAGATTTGATTATTTGTAGGGCAATTTCTTTCCTGTGGTGCCATAGTTCAAATTTAAGGTCTCAAGTATGTGCTTTACCACTGAGATCTACCCCCTGCTTCCGTATTTTTCAGTTAAAAACCACATTTATTCTTATGTATATGGGTGATTTGCTTGCATGTATGTCTGTGCACCAGTTGCATGACTGCCCGCAGAGGCCAGAAGTGGGTGTCAGACCTCCTGGAAATGGAACTACATACGGACAGTTCAGAGCTGCTATGTGTGTGTTGGGAATCAAATCCATGTCCATGAAAAAGCAACCAGTGCTCTTAACCACCGAGCCATCTCTCCAGCCTTATTCAGTTTTTGAGGCAGGGTCTTAGTCTGTAGCCAATACAATCCAGAACCTATGAAGACATGGCTGACCTTGAACTCACAGCATTCATCGCCTCAGCTCTCAATTGGCATTCTAAGACACTGGCCCTCACGACTGGGTACAGCAGCACATGCCTACCATCCCAGAATTTGGGAAGCTGGGGCAGGAGAACCACAAATGAGGACTAGACTGAGCTACACGTGATCCTTTGAATTTTATGTCTACATTCATGGCAGAAGTTGGTCCCTAGTATTCCCTGGAATGTTCTTGAGATTTTGGTGCTGCTACTTCAAAATGAATTGAAATCTATTCTTTTGTTCTGTTCATAAAATTTACCCCATTGGTGATTTTTAAGATACGAACAGTGTAGTGTGTGGTAGCTGGTTGTGTGTACACCTGCACTTGCCCTTGTGAACGCATGCAGGCCGACGTTGGGTGTTTGTGTGGGTACAAATGCCTTGATCCATGTGTGAAGCCCACGTGACAAATCTGTGTTCTTTTCTTCTATCTTTACATGGATTCTGGGGATCAAACTAGGGCCATCTCACCAGCTCCAGCTTACTCTTTAAGAGTCTGTCACTGAACCTGGAGTTCAGTATTTTGGCTACACTAGCTAAGCAGGAAGCTCCCAGAGTCCACCTGTCTCTGACTCCCTAGTGCCGGAGTTACACACACACACTGACAAGGGCTTTCATGTGTGTCTAGGTTTGGGCCACTAGGTTTGTGTAGTGTTTTGGCTGAGGACATGGTACTGTATGGGATTAAAAAAAAAAAAAAAAAGGGCTGGGCAAGCCAGTTAATGTTCTTCCACGGCTTCTGCTTCAGTTCCTGACTCCAGGTTCCCTACCTTGATGACAGACTGTGATCTGAAAGGGAAATAAAGCCCTTTCTTCCCAAGTTGCTTTTGGTCACGGTCTTATCGTAACAGAAACAAAACAAGAAAGAGCAAGCAAGATGACCTACCCAGCCATCTCCCTGCCCCCAGTGCAAAACCTTCATCCCATACCTAAAACCATATATTGAAAAATTCTGATCAGTCTGTTAGAGGTTAAGTTCACTGATGTTTCCAAAGTAGACTTTAGTTTGTAGCGGCCCCCACCCCTATCTTTAACTGACTTTTGCTTTTATTCTTATAGTTTGCCGGTCTCTGTATTAACATGAAGTCAGTGATTTTCATTTTTTGTTTTCAAGACAGAGTCTCTTTGTGCAGTCTTGGCTGGCCTGGAACTCACTCTGTAGGCCAGGCTGGCCTTGAACTCAGAGAGATCCACCTGTCTCTGCCTCAAGAGTGCTGGGATTAAAGGCCTGAGACACGACTGCGCAGCTGAAGTCATTGATTTTTTTTTTTAAAAAGATTTATTTATTTAGAAGAGGGCATCAGATCTCATTACAGATGGTTGTGAGCTACCATATGGGTGCTGGGAATTTAACTCAGAACCTCCGAAAGAGCAGCCAGTGTTCTTAACCTCTGAGCCATCTCTCCAGCCCAGATTAATTTATCATGTATAATGTTCTGTCTGCATGTATGTCTACAAGCCAGAAGAGGGCACCAGATTTCACTACAGATGGTTATGAGCCACCATGTGGTTGCTGGGAATGAACTCAGGACCTCTGGAAGAACAGCCAGTGCTCTTAACCTCTGAACCATCTCTCCAGCCCCGAAGTCAGTGATTTTCAGATTTTTACCTGTGACATGTGAACTGAGGTTATATATTAATTTCATTACATTATCTGTCTGTCTGCATGTGTGGGCAAGTACAGACCAGTGCTTCAGTTGAGGTCAAAGCATTACTTGCTGGAGTCAGTTCTCTCCCATTACGTGGGTCCTAGGGATTGAAGCCATTAGGGTTGGTGACAAGCTTCCTCCAGTGAGCTTTTTACTTGCCCATTATGTTTTTGGGTTTTTTTTTTTGTTGTTTTTTTTTTTCCAAGACAGGGTCTCACTATGTAGCTCTGACTGTCCTGGAACTATGTAGATTAGGCTGGCCTCAAACTCAAGAGATCCCCCTGGCCTGCCTCCCAAATGCTGGGATTAAAGATGTCCGCCACCACTATCAGCAACACTGGGTATCTTCTATTTCTTTCGACTTTTTTTTTTTTAAAGATAGGGCTGCTATGTATTGTGGCTGGCCTAGAACTCCTTATGTGACTATCTGTACTAAACTGGCCTTAAACAACAGATTTACCTGCCTCTGCCTCCTAAGTGCACTGGCTTCCATCTTCAGGTGCCCATGCTTGCAAGGCAAGCACTTTAACCAACGAGCATCTCCCCTCCATGGATTTCTGGTAACAGCTTTGTCCTCTTTTTCCTGGCTTTTGAGCAGCAGCAATAGCAAGTAGGGAAATTCTATATACACAGAAAGTTCTTCTCTGACGCCTGCAGATACCTCTCCACCCTGTCCTACTAGAACACAGCTCTCTAAAACCCTTGAAAAAAGAAGTTGGAAATGGGTTGTGTTCTACTAAACCAGGTGCAAGATCAACTCTAAAGATGTCCTAAGCTCCGAACTCCATAGATGACATTTAAAGCCCATAATAAATGTAAGCACTGCGTAATAAATGTAAGCACTACCTCTTTACTTATAGAAATCTTTCCTACTCAGGCATGGAAGCCAGGAGTGAGGTTCTGCCTGTGCAAGAGACACTAGGGCTACCATCCTAGACCTCCAAACAGCTTTCATGATCAGCTGTTGCCTTTTGGCCACCTAAAAATCTGACTACGAAGGAACCACCATTGTCCTCTCTTAGCAGGGCAGTCTGTGTGTGTAAGCAGACAGGGTAGAGGCAGGTCCAACAACAATCACCAGATTAAAGTGCTTAGATATCTCTATGCTGACAGAATAAATCCCCCAATTAAAAGAAAAAAATTTAAAAAAACAGAGCATGTTTTATTTTAATCCTGTTGAGGGAGAGAGATGGAAAACACATAATAAGGGGAGGGGTGTCTATATAATACATACAACATCAGGACCAACCACAGGGAATGAGACCCATTACACCCCTCCCCATCCAACTCCTATGCAGGTTCCAAGGCCAGCTGAGGTCAGATGGGACGTGAATTAAGACACAATTGGCACAGTAACATGGCCAATGCACCAAAAGATGGAGAGAATGTCCCAGGGAGCAAGGCCCCAGGCCTCAGCTGCTCCCCCCAGTGGAGAGGAATGCAAAACTTTGGCTCAGCAGGAAGGCAGATTTCAAAAATCAGGGTACCCTAGTTAAACTTTTCAGATCACAAACTGGAGTGAGTCAAAACATCTATTAAGTTGATGTTGTTTCGGCTTTCTCTAAAGTGTCTTTCCTCTTCAGGCCTGAGGCCAGGTTCTCTTCTTCAATTGGGAAGGCAGGGGAATAAGTGCTTATTCTATCCTTCCTAAGTCTAGGCAACTTAATTCCTACTTTCTTGGCTCTAGAGACAGAAGCCAACTAACAAGGCCGGCTCCCTTAGTGAAAGTCGGCTTGAAGAGCCCTTGGGTTGGCTCAAATGCCTCTACAAAGGTTTCTTTGAGCATCCATCCCTTTATAGAACTTCCTCAAACTCGTTACAGACATCTTCAAGTGTGTGAGACATGGCTGAAGACTTCATCTCTCTCTAGAGCTGGATCAATATCCCATCTTTGGAGATGAGGAGGAGAGAGCAAGAGCAAGCGCTGACATGGGAACGGTCACAGAACGAAAGGCAGTTGACAATCGATTATAGATTCAAGCCCATGGAGACGGAAGGGAACTCCGACACATTATCAACAAGTAAACAACAGTTAGTGGCAACCCTGTAGTTTCCATAGCCCAAAGAAAATCTGTTAAAGGGGGAGAGGAGACTGAGCCAGCAGAGTCCAGCCATTCATCTTAAATCTGAAGAAACTCATTCAGCTAATACTGTTTCAAGTATAATCACGAGGAGAAATGGCGCTGTTGAAACTCACACCGGGAGAATGAGATCACAGAGCCTACGACCGGGATCCAGGTGCTTGCCTCCCTTGAGAAGATACCCAGAAATCATCTTTGAAGACCTGATCTGAAGACTGCCATCCCTCCTGCCCCAGTACGATACTCTTCCAGGAAAGCTGGGTAAATTAAGACATCCGCTTAAAGTTTAAGTGGTTAAAAGAAAGGGAAAGAAACACTGAGTTTGGAAAGCTAGCAGCTAGAGCCAGAACCAAGGTTAAGGTCCTCACGGCAGCCAGGCTTGGAAGTGAAAGGACGGGAGCAGAGGGCAACAGGTTGAGAGCTCCTGCTTATTCTTGGCTTTCCTCTTCCCCTGCCTCCCAGTCCGCCCAACAGCCTGATGCAGCTATCTGTCTGCCAGAGGGGATACAATGCCCAGACCAACTTTTTATTGAGCTTATGCAGCTAACAGACTTGTAAACAGTGCCAATTGACAAAGTTTTGCTGAAAACTACAGCTTGTGTCCATTAAACACACCTCTCTCTTGAGATTAAAAACAAAAACCCAAAGTAAACAAATACTGAGAGAGAGAGAGAATCAAGAGACACATCTTGAGTCTTCCAGGAAGGCAAAGTAAAAAAAGCCACACGGCTTGGTCCCAGGCGCTCCCCATGCCTAGAGCGTTACTCCTATGACCATGTCTCCTCCACCAGTGGCTAGGTAGAGGTTCAGGAGCAGGGTCGTCTTGGGCATGCTGCAAATACAGCATTTGCTGGTGTTGACACCCTCCTGGGGCTGTGGCGGCAGACTGCTGTGTCAGGAGCACAATTCCTGGGAGCAGCAGGGGGATCCAGGACCTCCAGTCAGCCCACACACCTCAGCGGGGTACCTTGCCCCTTTTCTCCAGTGCGGTTCAGCGTTGAGGTTGTCTATTCCCAGTCGGCAATAAAACCTGAGCTGTTTTCCTCACAGGTTCCACCCCTGCTCCCCAACTTAGGGGAGCAGTGGGAGGGAAAGGGAGGATCACTGAGGAGGCAGGGGGATTCCCCGGGGATCGGTGACCTGGCCCTCTTGCAGGTTCTTTACCAGCTGTGCAAGCCAGCGTTTCGTGGTGGTGTCATCTTTTAGCACCTGGGCAAAGGTTGTGTCCTTCAGCTGGTCAGGGAGGCATTGTCTGAGTGCTTCACGTGCCCTACATCAGAAACAAACAAACCAACCAGGGAGACAACAAATAAACCCACATTTGGGGGCTTAGAAGAGCCCCTTTCTTAGATATAAATACACAACTCCCTAGGTTCTATGCTTTGTCAAGTTAATCAAGAATCTACTAGAATTCCTTAAAGCAAGTGTTATGCATAGGTTCAGAAACACCTAGAATGTGTAGTCAACAAATATTTCCAGCATATTCCAATGGAGAATTTCATGCAAAAGGAAAACAGAATAAAATGGTGCAAGTTTACTTCAGTCCAAATGTTGTTCTGATTTATTATAATAAATACTATCAAAATGCCATTAGACATAGCTTATGGTAAATGAAATTATTTTAAAATCTTTACACTGACAGCAGACATGGCCTCATTTGTATGGTAAATCAATAGATTTTAAATCTATACTAACATCAGTTATATCTTTAAGAGAAATGCTTCAGCTTGTATTTGAAAACCTTACAAAGAGATGAATAATAAAAACTATGGTGGCATTAATATCTAGAAGCCTGAAAAGGCAAATGTCAACTGCACAGAAGGCTGTTCTGAACAGTTACAGCTCTTATACTCACACAGGTAGAATTTCTAATAAGTATATTGTAAACTTGGGGGAAAACAGGAATCACCAAAAACCAGGACAAAATGATCAAAGACTAGCTAGTGCTTGAACAACCCCAGTGGCTGAAGACTGAGTTCACTTTAATCAAGCTCCCTGATCCCTAGGAACTCAAAGTATTCCATTATGTGGCTTGGCAGAATCTGAGTATGTAGCTTTCAGCATAAATTATGGATTAACAGGACAAAAGGTCAAACATTTCTGAAGTGCATCACATCTACAAAGTGCATGACTCTGGCAGAGATCTTGAATGCACCAAGAAAAAGTAATAAGCTCAATGCCTTACAGGAAGCAGAGAACTACAAGCCTAAGTAAAGAGCCCCTGGGCTACAGAACTTTCCAAGAGATCTCTGGAAGTTACTTATCTTTCTGATTATTTGGAGCAGTCATAGAAAGCCCAAACCACATGATATGGCCTCCCTTGAAATTGTCTGGGCTGTCTGGAATTTCAGGATAGGACAGAGTTACAATGGGAAGATCTAACTAGTGGGTATTTAAAGTTAGAACTTTAGATTTAATAGGAACTTAGGTTTGTCTTAGATGAACCAGAGTTACATTCTTTCTAATCCTCAAGACACAGGACCCGAGTCACGAGACTGGAATCCACTTATAAGACTATTTTCCTAAATTCTTAAGTCCTGTAAATCTTTACCTGGGATTATCTGAGAGTCGAAGGTAACATCTTACTACATGCTTCAGTAGACGGGCAGACGGTTCTTTGGAGAGCTGCAGGACCATTTTACCCTGTTTTACCCAAAACAAGAGTGGGGGAGAAAACACAAAATAATTCTAATTGACACCAGAGATCAGATCATCTAAGAACCATTATAGAAGTTTCCAATATTTGTATTATTTTTTTCCTTTTTGAGACAGGGTCTATGTGGCCTTGGCTAACCTAGCACTCACTATATAGATGAAGATGGACTCAAACTCACAGAGGTCCGCCTACCTCTGCCTCTGGAGTCTGGGATTAAAGGTGCTCACTCACTTTTATGCCAGCTAGCATTTGTGAGACAGGGCATTACTTCTTCACCTGGCTGGTGTGGAACTCATGCTGGCCTCAAGCCTGCAGTGATCCTCTTGCCTCTCTCTGCCTTATAAATCCTGGGATGACACATGTACCACCATGGCCACAATAGTTATTTCAAGTTAGAAGGCTAAGTTTTCAGCCACTTAAAAAGAGACTACGTTATGTGATCAGAAGTAAGTTGCAGAGACAGTAAAGAACTTACCAAGATCATGGCAACATGGGAAAAACGCTCATATGTCTGACAAATATAGGCCAAACCAGTGTCATCCAAGAGGATCTTCTGGAGGATAAATGTGGCAACCTGGAGTAAAAAGAACAAATACTATTGTACTGAACAATTATTGTATGTCAGGATTTTTTTCTAAAGGCTATTTAAAGGCCTTATTTTTCTTATTGAACTCATTAAATATATACCATTATTCTCATTTTACGTAAAAAGGAAAGCCCTAGACAATCATCAGGAGGATTGTGTAAAATTTGAGGACAGCCTGGGGTACTTAGTGAGTACCACAAACCAGCTTGAAACGAGCTTAAAACAAAAAACCCACAAAAACCAATGATTCCTCCCTAAACCTCCTAATTTAAACAAGATAATCATTTTGGGGAAAAGTTTTGAGACAAGGTCTTACTCTGTAGCCATGGCTACCTAGCTTCAAACTCATAGCAATGCCCTTGCCTTAGGCAAGAGCACAATGTTTGCTTGCAGATAATTAGGATGATGATTATCTTTCTTTCGTGCCATTAGAAGTATTATTGTTTTACTGAGGTATATCACTGTGATGGGCCAAATAATATGCCTCAAAGGTAGCCAAGTCTTAATTGTCACACCCTGAGAGTGTTGTTTCGTATGTAAAAAATGGTCTTTGCAGATATAATTAGGGATCTTTTTGTTTGTTTGTTTTCAAGACAGGTTTCTCTGTGTATTTTGGTACCTGTCCTGGATCTCGCTCTGTAGACCAGACTGGCCTCGAACTCAGAGATCCACCTGGCTCTGCATCCCCAGTGCTGGGATTAAAGGCATGCACCATGGATGGCCGCCTGGCATAATTAGGGATCTTGAGCTGGAGAGATTACCCACACAGGTCCTAAGAATCACTAGCATCATTCTAAGAGATAGAGAGAGAGATTTAACCACAAAGGAGAAGGAAATACAAGACAATGAGATGTGAACAAGTTCCACTGCTTGCTCTGTATAGAGAAGGGAACCATGTGTAATGAAACACAAGGAATGCAATTCTAGAAGCAAAAAAAAAAAAGGGGGGAGGCATGTAAAGGGACTTTCCTCTACAGCCTCTAGAGGAATCACGGCTCTGCACTACATGGCTTGATTTCAACTTATCGAAACTAATCTGTGGCTTCTAGAACTAAGAATAAATTTATGAATTAAGCCACCATTTAATTTTGCTAATTTGTCATGGCAGCAATAGGAAACTAACACAAACATACACAGCAAAGAGCAAATTCACTAACAGAGTGTCACTTGGTGAGTTTTTAGCCTGTATACCATATCTGCAAACCACAACAGCTTAAAACACAGAACATTCCCAGCAACTCAGAATTTTAGCATTGCCTTCTATCTTTCCCAGGTAACATCCGTCCTTTAGAGGTAGTCAGTAAACCAGTACTCCAAGGCACCAATAGTTATAAAGCAGGCTAAAGTTCAGTTGAGTGCATAACGCCTAGTTCCTGAATAGTTACGTTATATATTTACCCAGCAGTATTTAAACCAACCAACCAACCAACCAGGGGCCAGTGAGATGACCCCGTGGGTAAGGACACTTGCCACCAAGCCCAAGAGCCTGAGTTTAAAACCCAAAACCGACATGTTGGAATTGCGGAGAAGCCATCCCCACAAGTTGTTCTCTAACCTTCACACGTGTGCTGTGGGCATGCGCACACACACACACATAAAAACATTAACCAACCAACCAACCAACCAACCCATCCACTTGACTAAATCTTACCACCCTGGAAAAGCACTCAGTAATAGGTCTAGAATTAGGCCTGCACATCTATAGGCATTAATTTTTTATTTATGTGCATATTTGTCTGTATATGTCCATGTACGGGTGCAAGTCTGTGCAGAAGCCAAAGAGAGGGTCATATGTCTGTCACTCTTGGCTTATTCTTTCCAGGCAGGGTCTCTACCTGAACCTGGGGCTTGTGTTTTCCTCTAGGCTGGAAGCCAGCAAGCCCTCGTGACTCTCCTATCTCTATTTGCTCAGAGCTGGGGTATAAGTGTGCACAGGATGTCCAGCTTGATATATGGGCACTGGAATTTGAACATGATTGTGCAGCAAGTGCTCTCAACTACTAAGCTATTTCTCCAGCCCCATATTAAAAAAAAGATTTGTCTATTTTATATGTATGGTTATTTTGCCTTCATCTATGTCTTACAACATGTGCATGCAGTGCTCACAGAGGACAGAAGAGGGCATCAGACCCACTGGGACTGGAATTAAAGGTGGTTGTGAGCTACTCTGGGTAATGGGTATCGAACCTGAGTCCTCTGCAAAAATAGCCAGTGCTCTTAACCACTGACCCATCTCTCCAGCCCCACCTCTGTATTTTAAAAATACTTCCCAGGTTATTATATCATTCATAATAGGCTTGACCAAGAACCTTTATTTCAGTGCGCACCTACTACTCAGTTCTGACCTCCAAGGGCATCTGCACACATGCAGTACACACAGACAGATGTATGCAGGGACACAAAGACACAGACACACACACTATCTCAACTCTCATCCCTAAAAAAAACCTCAGAAAATGATTATAAGAAAAAATAGACATAAACGTTAGATAATATAGTATAACTGAAGTTGGCGAAACAAGAGGCTAGAACAATAAAAAGAACAATATAAAAAGCAAGCCACCTACAAAAGGAAAGAGAGACTTTAACTTTACTACAACATTCAATGTCAAAACACAAAAGGGTTTTGGCAACAGAATTTTCAGAAGGAAAAATGAGGTGAGAATTTTACACAGTCGTGCTCTTGCTGAAGTTCAAGTACACACCCCTCACTTCATATGACAGAAAACCAGAGGGATAGATTTGGCATAAAGATGCCTCAGTGGAGCAAATTTTGCTGTATCAGCTTATAAGGATCCAAGTCTGGCTGGGTGGTGGTGGCACATGGCTTTAATCCCAGCACTCAGGAGGCAGAGACAGGCAACTCTCTGAGTTCAAGGCCAGCCTGGGCTACAGACTGAGTTCCAGGACAGCTAGGGCTGTTACCCAGAGAAATCCTGTCTCAAAAACCAAAACAAAATGAACAAACAATAAACAAAAGACCCAAGTTTGGATCCCTATCACCCAAGTAAAAGCTGATGTGACATCATATCTGCAACCCTAGACTGGCTGGTAGCCCCTCTAGCAGAAACAGTGAGCTCTATGTTTCTGTCTCAAAGACTGGTGGAGAAAGTAATGAAGACATCTGACAGTGATCATTAGCCTCCACATGGAGATCTTCAGGCAAGCACACATACAAAGGAATTAACTATCAATCAGATATTGTTCTGAAAGGTCTGGAGCTTTTATGTCTGTCTTTTGAGACAGTGTCTTGTTATCACCTCAGTCTGGTCTTGAACTTGTAATCTTTCTGCCTCAGCTTCCATGGTTTGTGGTTTTTAATGATGATCTAATAATAATTTTTATACGAAAGAGGAAAAAATACAGGGACCCCAGAGACTGCTCAACCAACAAAAGCAGTAGTGTGTGTACTGACTAGTTTTATGTCAACTCAACACAAGCTAGAGTCATCTGAGAGGAGGGAAACTCAACTGAAAAGTGCTTCCATAAGATTGGGTTGGCAAACCTGTAGACCATTTTCTTAGTGATTGTTGTGGGAGGGCCCACAACACCATATCCATCTTTTTTTCTTATGCTTACAATCATTTTCCTTTCTTTTCTGGGGTTGGAGTGGAGAGGATAAGGGAAGAAAGAGTGTGTGTGTGTGTGTGTGTGTGTGAGAGAGAGAGAGAGAGAGAGAGAGAGAGAGAGAGAGAGAGAGTGTGTGTGTGTGTGTGTGTGTGTGTATGAATTTATGTGCACTCTATGTGTACACGTGTCTTTTGAGGCCATAAGAGGACTGGTGGTCTTGGGTGCTTTAAGAGAGCAAGTTGAACAAGCTACATGGAGCAAGCCCGTAAGCAGCACCCCTCCATGACTTCTGCATCAGTGCTTGCTTGACTTTCCGCTCTAACTTCCCTGGATACTGGACTACAAGCTGTAAAATGAAATAAACCCTTTCACCCCCAAGCTGCTTCCTGTCATAGTATATCATCACAGCAATAGAAACTTTAACTAAGATACCATGTAAGCCTGATGACCCGTTTGACTCCCAGAACCCACGTAAAAAGCCAGATTTAGTGGCAAGCATTCGTAATCCCGGCACTCCTATAGTGAGATGGGAAAGAGAGACAGGAGAACTGTCCAGAAGCTGGTGGACCAGCTCACAGCAGTAGAAATAAGAGAGGCCCTTGCCCAACAAGGAGGAAAGTGAGAACCATCTCCCCAAAGTTGTCCTTTATCTCCACGTGTGCCAAGGCACAGTCACTCACACTCACACAAATAAATACATTTTAAGAGAAAAGACATTTTTGAAGGTAAAAAATCTGGGGAGGCAGAAAATGAGTCTTGAGCCACAATGCAGCAGCTCCAGAACCAAAACAATGTTGACTCTCACTTAAAATCATATACCGTTTTAGAAAGTTCACTTCCAGATTCCATAATGCGCAAACACAAAGGGATGATTTCTGTTGTCAATAAAAAGTTGATTACTTCTTGTTCGTCTGTTTTAACCAAGGCCCCTAAAGAAAATATGGACAAACAAAATTATTTTAGAGGAACAAATTCTAATCATTTACTCTACACTGTTCATCAAAACAAGTTAAAGAATTAAAGTAATTTGATACACAGACTGTAGTTTCTGTGTCAGGCAATCAGTTCTGTATCCATCTGAACAAAAAACAACAGTCAGCTGCAGAGTCACCCGTGTAATCCCAATATTGGGAAGGCTAAGGCAGGAAGATGTTGAGTTCAAGGCCAGCCTGGGCAACTTACTGAGATGTTGTGTCAAAATTTAAAAAATAAAAATAAAGCAAGTGGGGAAAGTGCTCAGTGTTAAAAACACTAGCCTAGTACAAGGCTCTGAGTTATTTAACTAAGATCATTCAACTTAGTTAAAATCAAGTTATTCTTTACTCCCTCTATAATTTGATGCTAAAATCAGATCTTGATTATTGATCCTCACAGTTGTTACTAGCAACACTGAGAACGGTGCTTGGTAAGTTTGCATGCACTTATAGTAAATCAGATGATGTGAAAGACAAAAAATAAAAAATGAGTAAGCTGTAAGAAGCTGAACAAAACACACAACTTAGATCACTACTGCCTGTAAGAATTTCAAGCTTACAAAATGTCCCTAATCACTTACCTAGGCTGTCGGTGCAGTTCAGTTGGTAGAGTGCCTGCCTAACATGCACAAAAACCTGGGTTCAGTCCCCAGCAGGGCATTAAGAATGGTGATGTATGCCTAAAATCCCAGCATTTGGAGGTGGAGGTTAGAGGATCAAAAATTAAAAAATTCAAGAGTATCCTCAGCTAGATAGTGAGCCTGAAGTTAGCATATGGTACATGAGACCGTCACACACACACACACACACACACACACACACACACACACACACACACACACACCCCAAAAAAAAAAAAAAAACCAAACCCAAAAACCTTACCAATAACTCCGAGGCTGGTGAGCCGAAGATATTCAAAGGGACGAGTTTTGCTGACTGTGTGCAAAAAGGGGTACAAAAATAGTGGGATGTGTGCTGCAAGAAAAGCTGACCTGAAAGAAAAACAACCACATTTAGAACCCAGAGTGGATTTCTTTTTTTTTTTAAAACTTTTTAAAAATGTTATTTATTTGTGTAGACTAGAAGTATATGAATAGAGTAATACTCTCTATTCAGTCATTCCCCCAAGTCAATTTCAATGTCCCAAAGTTTAATTAACAGAACAGGGAAGCTGCCCTGAACTGAACTCAACACTTTGGAGCAGAGTAGATTTCTAAACATCAAATTTCTAAGCCTGAAACAATACGTGTGACAGAGTAAGGCAAGCTTTAGAAAAGAATTTTATTGGCTTTTAGTCTTGACCAGTGTTCTGAAATGTGTAATTTTGTACCCTAGGAGACATGTGTCAATGTTTGGAGATACATTTGTCAGAAATAAGAAATGTTGAGGGGCCGGGCGGTGGCGGCGCACGCCTTTAATCCAAGCACTTGGGAGGCAGAGGCAGAGGCAGGTGGATCTCTGAGTTCGAGGTCAGCCTGGTCTACAGAGTGAGATCCAGGACAGGCACCAAAACTACACAGAGAAACCCTGTCTTGAAAAACAAAAACAAAAAACCAAACAAACAAAAAAAGAAATGTTGAGGGCTACTTAGCATACAGTTACAGAGGCCAGAGATGTCTACTGTTTAGAATACCTCTTGCCCTCATCCACACATCAGACATACTCAGCTCTGGGTGTTAATGTGTAACATCCATTCAGGCTAGGGTGATTAAAGCAACACAATACCTCCAGTCCCCACTAAATACCTTAAAAACTCATTAACTCAAAAATACGATAGTTTAAAAGAGCATGTCATAAATGATAAAGCCAATGTGCCGTTGCACATCTAGATAGAATCCTAGCACTCAGGGGCCTGCCTAAATTAGGAGAGTCATGAGTTTGGGGCCAGCCTGGAGATACTGTCTCCAAAAGAGAAGAGAAGAGAGAAGAAGAGAGAAGAGGCTACATTAGTGAAGAGATTCTTCCAGGAGCCTGGAAAGATGGCTCTCTGTGGTGAAGAGTATTTGTTGGGACCTGAGTTCAGTTTCCAACACCCATTTTGGTTATTTTACAACTGCTTCTGGTAAATACAGTTGCAGGGGGATCTGATGTTTTCTAGTCTCTGTAAGCACCCAAACAAGAGTGGTAGGCAGGTACGTGTTTGCCCTCTAGCATGCGCGCACACAGCATGCTAATGCCAGGTGTGGTGGTACATATCTTTAATTCTAGAACTTGAGAGGTAGAGACAGGTGAGATCTCTTTGAGTTCAAGGACAGCCAGGACTGTTATACAGAGAAACTGTTTCAAAAAAAGAAAAAAAGAGAGATCCTTTTAGATCAAACTTCACTGATGTAAGATTCTGATTTAAATGAACATAAAATAATTACTTAATTTTGTTTTTTTTGGAACAGGGCCTCACTCTGTAGCAAGCCTCTTGTCTTAGCCTCCTGAGTGCTGGATTACAGCTATGAATCATCACGTCAAGCTTAAATCTCTGGATTCATATTTGGGATTGAATCACTGTCAGAAAATATTTTTAAGGTAACTAAGCAAAATCTTTCCTCTTAGGTCACAGCAAGTCACTAAATTAGTTGATTTGCTTATGTTTCTTGCTATTTTGAAAACTGTTTCTATGATGCCGAAAGTATGGAATTGTATTCTACTTTATTTTAAAACATTACACTTTCTTCAAATCTGTAACTAAACCAGAAACTAAAAATAGTTATCAAACTTAATGGCATAGAAATATGTACGTCAAAGAAAAACAAGAAAACAGTAGGTATGGTGGTATACAACCACAATCCCAGCACTTGACAGAGACAGTAGGCTTAAGAGTTGGAGGCCGCCGGGCGGTGGTGGCGCACGCCTTTAATCCCAGCACTTGGGAGGCAGAGGCAGGCGGATCTCTGTGAGTTCGAGGCCAGCCTGGTCTACAGCGCGAGATCCAGGAAAGGCGCAAAGCTACACAGAGAAACCCTGTCTCGAAAAACCAAAAAAAAAAAAAAAAAAAAAAAAAAAAAAAAAAAGAGTTGGAGGCCAGTCTCAGCCAGAAAAACAAAAGCAAAAACAAACAACCCTAACCACAAATACCCACAAGGAACTCCAAAACCAACTGATAAATTTGAAAAAAAGGAAGAGTTCTGAAGACTCCTATCCACACACCACACTGCATGCCTTTCTCTGATCACTCAGCAAGGGTATCTAAGCTCCTATGAAACAATCATCCACCCCCATCAACTTATCAATGCGCGCACAACACTTACCTGGTCTCCGGGTGGGAGGCCACACACTGCAGCAAGGCTAAAGCATTGCAAACTCTGTTGGACTGGTGTGCTGTCAAGGTTGGAGGGTTGATAGATGGGTAAATATTTACAATTTCCTGAAAAATTCCAAGAATCCAGAGAGCAATTAACCACACAATTATTACCACAATGTCACAGCACAGTAAGTTTAAAAGACGACTTTAATTCCTGCAGAAATGGAATTATCCTTTCATCACAAGCATACTGGACTAACTAGGCAAGACCTTCCCCCATGTGACTCTGGGACTACTGCTATGAAAACAACTGGGTCCCCTACACTTCCTCCTAGATTTTGCAGCTAATCTTTATTTTATTGTATTTTATGTGTGTTGGTGTTTTGTCTGCATGTATGTCTGTGCATCATGTGTATACAGTGCCCACAGAGATCAGAAAGAGGGTGTCAGATGCCCTAGAACTGGAGTTATAGCTGGTTGTAAGTCAAAATGCAGGTGCTGGGGATCAAATCCAGGACCTTTGGAAGAGCAGCCAGTGTTCTTTACCACTGAGCCATCTCTCCAGTCCCTGTAGCAGTCTTTCAATTGAGGGACCCTTACATAACTTTTAGAGTTGTATTCTACTCTATAATGATGAGACCTATGTGGACTACAATTCTGTTTACTTTAGCTGCAAATCCTTCCATAACACTTACAGATTCTTGGCTATATGTGTCAGGAATGGCATATGAATTTACTGAACAAATTTGAAAGATTATTAGTAATTTGGGGAGGAACTTTATAGGATGATTATTCTACTACCTTGGTACTTTGGGATTGTTCCCTTTTAGTTTGTGTTCCACCTATCACCACTCTGGCCTGACTCAAATTTCAGTTATTTATTCTTGGTCTTACTCGTTTGTTTGTGTGGTGTGTGTGCACATCATAGCACATGCGTGGAAGTCAGAGGACAGCCTGCAGGATCCAGATCTTCCTTGTCCCGTGTTGGTCCCAGGGATCAAACTCAGGTTGTCAGGCTTGGCGGCAACCGATCGCCTTTACCCAGGAAGTCACCTTACCAGATGCAGTTGTTTATTTTATTTTTTTGTTTTTCAAGACAGGGTTTCTCTGTGTAGCTTTGCGCCTTTCCTGGACTCACTTGGTAGCCCAGGCTGGCCTCGAACTCACAGAGATCCGCCTGGCTCTGCCTCCCAAGTGCTGGGATTAAAGGCGTGCGCCACCACCGCCCGGCTAGCTGTTTATTTTTTAAAAACACAGATACCCACCTTTAATTCGATAGCTGCTACACCTTTATCTCAACATTTTCTTTCCTTAGACCATATCTATGGTCCTTATACTATCTCTAAGTTCTTCCCTGCTATACAGATCTATCCTGTTGTACTTCTAAAGGCTGTTTCTCAACACAGTTCTTAGATTCACCTGTTAAACACAGATTTTAAAGCCTACCTCTCAGACCAACTAAATTCAACCTCCAAAATAATACATTTTAACAAATACCTCCAACTTTTAAAAAACTGACTCTTGCCAGGCAGTGGTAGCGCATGCCTTTAATCCTAGCACTCAGGAGGCAGAGGCAGGCGGAGCTCTGTGAGTTTGAGGCCAGCCTGGTCTACAGAGCAAGTTCCAGGACAGCCAAGGCTACAAAGAGAAACTCTGTCTCAACAAATAAACAAACAAAAACAAAACAGATATTTAAACAATCATTCTTCTAAAGTCTTCAAAACTCGTTTGAGCCAAGAAGAGAAAACCACGCAAGTGTGACAAACATGAGTAAATCCCTACTTGTGGACACACACCCACCTGTAAAAGTGCTGCAATAGTACCAAATGAATGCCACAGCATGGGTGCAAGGTCAGGGACAGACTCTCGCTTCTTGCTTAGCTCTAGCAAAGCATTTTCCCTCGTCTCAGGACTGGACAGTTCATTGATCCACTGATAGATCTTCTCTCTGTCCACTTGTGCCAGTGCAGTAGGCACAGGCTTCAGGGGAGAACAAGAAAACATGTGTCAATTTATTACAATTAAACCAAGGCTTATCCTGCAGTAGTGCTTTAGAAAAATGTATTTTTCTAAATAATAGGAGCTTTACTAAACACAATATTTGATGCAAAGTAACTCAATCTGTTTGACAGTTAATGAGCCCACGTTTAGGAGTTTATGTTATAGGTGTATTTGGGCTGTACTGAAAATATATCAGTATGCTTACTATTATGATGTTTTAAGGCAGAAAACTAACAGCTATCAATAAGAGATGACTTAAATATATCTTGGTGCATCTTTATATTGGAATATTATGTAGCCCTTTATGAAAAGACATAGCTCAATACGGACCATACTACATAAAAAATAAAAGTATGCAAAACACATTGCTGCAAAAAGAAAGGATACATGTTTAGGTCATTAGATCACCTTAAAAAAAAAAAAACTAATAATGGTGGAAACACAGGGTACATTTTAGCTTTAAATTCTTTGCCTAGTTCTCATAGAAAAAGTCCTATAACAATAACTAAAAGACTCAAAAGAACTAGATCAGCAATATAGTATCTATCCTGGTTAATACTCTTTCCAGTCAGCTTTCTCCCAAATCTTGTCATACATACATCACCACAGTAAACTCCAGGAACTGCTCCTCCTCTTGCACTAAGAATACAAGCCTGAAACTTGTATTCAGCACCCTTGTACCTCAACTGGCCTGAAAGTCACCATATAGCATGTTATCACACTTGTGTACCAAGTCCTGCCCTCATATATCCCCTTCCCAGAGTTGATGTGGTGCCAGCAGAGAGTGCCTCGGCCAGTGCCCTAGGCACCCTTAAGACCAATGCCTCAAAAGACACGGTCACCTCCTCCAGCAACACCTCCACAGTCAGCGGTGGAGGTTGCAGTTTCCACATAACTCTGCTCTAGAACCTCTTCAAATGGGTGGAAATGAGACCCTCCCAGGCACGAGCTTCAGTTCCGCAGCCATTCTAGCAGCAGAAGGGTACGTGTGTCTAAGCAACACAGAAGGGAGCAAGATCCCCTGGAACTGGAGTTACAAATGGCTGTGAGCTGCCATGCTAGTGTTGGAAACTGAACCTGGGTCCCTGGAAGAGCAGAAAATGCTCTTAACTGCTGAGCCATCTCCCTAGTCCCCACATAGTCTTATTGTTAGGCACTATTTTATACTATCTATTCTTATCATTTAAAAAATTTTATCTTATTTTACTTATGTGTATGTAGGTGTCCAGAGGCCGGAAAGGGCATCCCTCAGAGCTGGGATTACAGGCAGTTTGAGCCACCCAATGTGAATGATGGGAATCAAACTTCAGTCCTCTGTAAGAACAGTACAAATTTGCAGTTGCTGAAGCATTTCTTTAGACTTCTCAACTTCATTTCATAGACAAGACAGCTAAGGCATAGAGAAGTTACTTAAATTTAGATGGCAACAGGCTCATGCCTATAATCTCAACACTCTGGAGGCAGAAACAGGTAGATAGATCTCTGTGAATTTGAGGTGCCTGGTCTATGCAGCAGGTTCCAGGCTACCTAGAATTATGTAATGAGACTATCTCAAAACAACTGTAACACAAGTAGTCCGGCAACAGAGGACTCTTAACTTCTTTGCTAATGCTGCTTCTTATCTGCCTGAAAGTCAGATCTGATTAAAAACAATGTTCTTTCTTTTTTAGAGTTACAGGTGTATGCCACCAGCACACAGCCTGAAGATGACTTTTAATAAAGCATTGATTTAGACATATAATTAATATGTAAAAGTTTCAAACAAACATTATTATGCTTAGTTCAACAGATCCCAAAGAAAACTTAGTATCAAGAAAAATGTCATTGATGTTAGGAGAAATTCTCTAGTTATGAAATTACATAGCACTTAATAAACATTTTTTTTTTTCGAGACAGGGTTTCTCTGTGTAGTTTTGGTGCATGTCTTGGAACTCACTCTGTAGACCAGGCTGGCCTCGAACTCAGAGATCCGCCTGGCTCTGCTTCCCAAGTGCTGGGATTAAAGGCATGCGCCACTACTGCCGGGCTTATAAATGATTTTAAATAAACATTTATGTGTAAACTGTAAAAGTCATTTTCCTCCTCTGGTGAATTGAAAACGTGGTGTTGAGTCTCTTCAAGAGAAAACAGCTTCCTGTTTAAGGGCCAGCACAGCTCACTGTCTTCCCAGTACGACAGTGAGTGAAGGAAAGAATGGGGTTAGACTGGACAGATTACCTCTCAAACTCAGGTGGCTCAACATGGGGCTTTCATTTAACTCCCTGTGCAGGCCACGCTTGCCTTGAACTCACAGCAATCCTTCTGCCTCGTCCTCTTGTACGCTAGGATTATAGGCTGACTACATTTGACAACGTGTACCTTTGAGTATTAACATAAAGAAATATGATCTAAAAAACTTTAAAAATCACACTGAAAGTAGTAACTGTCCTTATGAGGACTCCATTTTTAAATTTTTTGTTTGTAAGTTAGGGTTTCATTATATAGACCAGATTGGCCTGGAATTTGTGGTGATCTTTCTTGATCTGTCTCCCAAGTCTTGGGGTTACAGGTTTGTGTCAGCTTCAAAGTGACTTTAAAAAAATTCAAAGTAGGCCCAGTGAGGTGACTCAGCTGGTTAAGGGTGCTTGCCATCAAGCCTGAGGCTCTGAGTTTCTTTCATCCCCACGACTCAACATGGTAGGATAGAACTGACTTCTACAAGTGTCTGTCTGTCTGTCTGTCTCTCTCTGTATGTGCCTGTCTGTCTTTCTCTCACAACTAAACAAATAAACGAAAGTGAACCAGTAAAGAGAAGCTAGATTCTTTGCCCTAAGTTTAAATAGGAGGTTTGGCAGCAGTGAACCAATTTTATTGAGTACATTCCTGCCAAAGAGTAGGGCATCTGGGAGTCAACCAGTTTAAACACAAAGATAATAAAATGGGCTGGGAAAATGGCTCAGTATGTGCCTACAGCTCGTCATGAGGACCCGAGTTTGGATCCCCAGCATCCATACAAAAGCTAGCTAGACATGAAGACACAGCACCTTAGATCCCCCGAACTCACAGGGGAAAGGTTTGTCGGTCAGCTAGTCTAACTGAAATGGGAAGCTTCAGGTTCAGTGAGAGACCCTCTCTCAAAAAGGAAAAAGGGGGCTGGAAAGATGGCTCAGCAGTTAAGAGCACTTGGTGCTCTTATAGAGGACCTGGGTTCAAGAACCTACATGGTAACTCACAGTCATGTGTAATTCCAGTTACATACACGCAGTCAAAACATTCACACACATAAAATAAAATCTAAAAAAAGGAAAAGAAAAACAGACACAAGGTGGTGTCAGGGAAAATGGCTCAGTCAGTACAGCCTTGTCTCCAAGACCCACATAAAAAGGCCTGCAAGTGTGGTTGCCCAAAATCCTAGCACCCAGGAAGCAGAGAAAGACATCTGACACTGAACTCTGGCCGCCGCACATGCATCAATAGGCAACTCATGTGCATATGAACACACACACACACACACACACACACACACACACACACACACACACAGAGTAATTCAAGTGTTCAGAGATGCTAAAATTGTCAGTAGAAATCAATGACGACCTTATATTAAAGGTGTATCTAATGCCTCTCCCAAAGTTTACTTTGGCTGTTTCATGAACAAATAGCAATTACAGAAGACTCAATGTCATACTTCCACTAATCTAAGTAACCCCTGGGGTCTATAGAAAAGTAGTATTACTTTATTAAAACAGAAAGAAGTCATTTAGCTAGTATATGAACCCAGCCAACGACCAACTACTTAGTTTTTCCATTCACTTAGTGTGTGTATGTGCCATGGTGCATGCGTGAAAGGGAGAGAACAACGTGTGAGAGTTTTCCTCTTTTCCAACCACATCACACGGGTTCTGGAGACGAACGCAGGTCACCAGGCTTGGAGGCAAAGCATCTTTATCTTCTGACCCACCAACCGATCTTACTAGCTATAGTTTTTCTCACATCATTAGGTTCTACTTTTTTACATAGTGTGTGTGGTATATGTACAATTGCATGGCAGAGGTGTGCACAGAGACCTCCTTAAGTCATTCTTGGCCATATTCCTTTGAGGCAGGGTCTTTTACTGAACCTGGTGCTAGGCTGGTAGTCGGCAACCCCTAGTGATTCTTCTGTCTCTGGGGTGGCAGGCATGAAGTCATAGCTGGCTTTTTATGTGAGTGCTGGGGATTTGACCTCAGGGTCTCACTCTTGAGCAGCAAGTGCTCTTACCCGCTCAGCCATCCATCTCCCTTTATCCCTTTACATTTACTAATTTTGCAAATAACCCTTCACTGTTTCTGTCCACAATATATAGAAAAAACAAATTTTGTTTTGAGAATAACGAAGACATAAGAATATATTCCATAATGACAAGAGCACACTATATTATATTTCAACTACCTCATTGTCCTTTAATAGTACTTCCTATCTCCCTAACTAAAGGGATGGTTTCCTTGCTATATATTAAAAAAGAGATAGACCCTATCTCCCCCAGAGGAACAACTTCCAAAGTTGACTCTGGTCTCCACACATGCACACCCACAATATGAACACATACACGTAAGATTTCTTTATTAAGAATAAACCAAGTGTCTCTTCAAAAGACTTAGGTTATTGTGGGGATTGCTGCATGCACTCTTCCTTTCAATTTCTAGTAAATGGTATTTTTTTTTTTTTTTGCACAGATCAAAATAACACAAGCAGGTTGGACTATGGGAATAAGGGATTGTGAAGGAATTGGCTCAAAGTTTTATGCTTCAGTCTCGTCACTAACCAAACATCCTAAAGTTGTCCGAGCTGCCATTTGGGTCAAATAGCGTAACAAATGTTCAAGTTTTTAAATTTATGTACAGCACTGTAAATTGAAGAAATACATATTGAGAACTTTTTTTTTCTTTTTGGTTTTTCGAGAGAGGGTTTCTCTGTGTAGCTATGGCTATCCTGAATTTGCTATGTAGACCAGGCTGGCCTCAAACTCAGATTCGCCTGCTTCCCAAGTGCTGGGATTAAAGGCGTGTACTACCACCGCCCAGCTTGAAAGTGTTCTTTTGTTTTCTCGAGACAGGGTTCTCTGTGTAGCTTTGGAGCCTGTCCTGGAACTCGCTCTGTAGACCAGGCTGGCCTTGAACTCACAGAGATCCGCCTGCCTCTGCCTCCCGAGTGCTGGGATTAAAGGCGTGAGCCACCACTGCTGTCCGAAGTGTTTTTAAACTATCCTGCTTCCCATATGGTTGTGAATGGCTATTCAGTCAGCATTAGTTAAGTGCTTACCTTACAGTAGTAATGTCCTAGTAGGGGGGAAACCAAGTAAAGGGTTCCCCCTCGAGAGGGAGACGGACAACACACAAGTTAAAAAATAAATTTAAAAAAATCCAGTAATTACACACTGGGAAATCAATACTCAAGAGAAAATATTGGGGTTACAAGCTACTGTGAACATGGTCAGAAAAAGATACTCTAAGGCAGATTTGTGTATATGTATGGAGGCAGTCCTAAGGACAACAACAGGTAAAGAAAATGGAGACTGCGTCCTGCAGAGGAAAAAGGCATGTACTTTTGGCCGGAGCTTAAGGAGCAAGTGACGGAAACCAAGCCCATAAACGTGACTATGGACCACATCATACAAGGCTTACAGGCCGCGGAGTCTACTTTCTCTAAATGTAACCGAAAGCCATAGCATGGCTTCAGGGAGGTATAAAACGTATTATAATAATAATCAGCTTTGCTTGTTAAAAGATAAAACGAGACGTGCGAGGAAGGCTTTAAACGCAGAGAACTCTACAATCAGATGCAATCATCCTGAACTTCGGGTCTCTGGCCTTCTACATGCAAAGCAAGCGGACTGAGCTAGAAGCCATTTCCTTCCCACTGAGCTGTGCCTAGGCAAGGAGTTCCAGGAGCACGGAACCAGAGCGAGCGACCGTGGAACGATCCTCATCCCCGCCGACGCCCGGCACACAACCGGCGTCCAGAAACTGACGGGGAGCGCAAATGAATCAAATGAATAGCGCGCTGGGGCCGAGCGGGGCCACGGGACCAGGCCTCGGCTCCGGAAGAGACCGCGAGAGGCCGCGCGCGAGGCCGGGAGGGGAGACGGAGACGGCGGGGATAGCTGGGGGGTCCCGACTCCGCCAGGGTCAGAGCGCGGTGCGGAGCCTCCGGGACCTCGCGGCTCCGGGCAGAAGCAGCCGGACGCGGGGCCCGGCTCTGGGAGCTCGGCAGCAGGCTGAGACTTGGCATCCGGGCGCAACCACTCACCGCCGCCGTGGCCAGGCTGTGCATGTTGGGAGCGGCCGCCGTTCTCCTCCTTCCGCCGGACGCGCCGGACCCGCGTCCCAGCTTCAGCAACTGTGCAGCCCGCGATGAAGAGCCGCCATCCGCCTCCGGCTCGCTCCTCCCCCTTCGCTAGCCCTCTGACCTCTCACCTCTGACCCTCCACCCACACAGCCCTTTCCCGCCTCCTGGCCCTCGGCCTAGCTAGAAGTCCCAGAGTATATTCGTTGACACTTCGGATTCAGGATCAAAATGACGTCTGCAACCTACTGGTCCTCGTATTCCCCTGGCATCGCAGGTATATCCCCAGAGGAGCGTGAACTCTGACTTTCCTCCTAAGGCCAGAGAAGGGCGGGAAAAGGCCGGCGGTGTTGGAAGGACACGAACTGCGCATGCTCAACCAGGCTGAGCGAGCGGAAAATGGTGGGCGGGCCCAAGTCGGTAAAATGGAGAGTGCGCATGTGTACTACAGTACCGTCACGGCAGGGGCCGGAGCGCCCGGGTTAGGGGCCGGGCTTGGTGAGGGGCGGATCGAATGCCTTGGGGGGCGGGGCTTGAGCGCTGACGCGCACGCTCCCGGACTGGCTGCGTCGAGGGTGCGTGCGTGCGTACGTGTTTGCGTGTAGTCACAGTTCCCGCCATCAGCGGGTTTAGGTGTGTAGGAGAGAGCACGGCCTCGCTGTGTAGGGCCAGGGGAGCCCCCTTCCTGCGGAGCCCCTCGGCTCCTCCCCCTCCGCGGCAACTCTGTGCTTCCGGCAGGCTCGTCCGGGGCTGGGACCCTCCGGCACAGGTAAGGCGGGCCGGGACAGCTTCTGAATTGAGCCGTTTTCCCCGGCTTCACCCACACCCCCCCCCCCGTGCGGTCCGCCCACTCGGCGGCCACTCCGGAGTTCGCCCGGCTGCTACTCAGCCTGCCCCGGGTCCCTGGACGCTTCCTGAGCTTTACAGGTGCCCCCGTTCGAGTGTTTGCCCTCCACTTTCCCTCCCCTTCGACGCGGTCCGTATTGTCACTCGCTTTCCGCATCCTAAACCTGGCCCCCGTGCACTAGGGTTGTGGTGGTCTCGGCTTGCCTCCTAGCAAGGCCTGCTGTCTTTCCAGGTGACTTCCGTTGCCACATACCCTTCAGACTTTGGATGCCATGGTCATTCGCCCTCTTGGCCATTCTTTACTTTCCTCCTCCTCTTAAACAGTGCTCGCCAGAAGTCAGGGAGTGTAATTCTTGCCGTGCATTTGATTGCTTCCCGTATCTCGTCACACCGACGATGTCCAATTTGCCAATTTTAAACCGAGATCTGGTGAAAAAATGGCAACTGGTAATAAAGTTCCATGTCTTTGGAGAGTTGTACTGTAGTGGTTTGGGGGTATTCTTTTGGCGAGTTACAGTACCTGATGAGTCTCTAGCTGAAAGAGATAATCTAAGAGAACATTGAGGAAGCATTTGGGTTTAATGGGTTAGAATTTAGAGGAGGATCCTGGGCCAGACCTATAGATGCGTGTGTGTTTGTATGTTATGTGTGTCATTTGCATTGTTAAAATTTGGAACCATGCAAATGCATGACATTGCCTAAAGTACAGTGCTAGAAAAGGGTGCGTCGGTGGCACTGAGATGCTTCACGTTTAATGGCGGACGAAGGGACTAAAGAGATGAAAGAATGGCCTTGCGTTCTGACAAAGGTAACTGAGGCACTGAAAAACTCAGTGACAGGCAGAATCAGTTGTCTTGGTGAGAAATTTTGGCAGGGTATAATGATTTGGTTTCGGGCTGGGATTCTCTTCAGTTGCCCTTCCATTCCTCTCTAAGCTTTAAATTCCACTATATGATGATAACGTGTGAATTTTTAATTTCAGCTCCATATTCAAATAGACGGCTGTCTGCTTAACATCTCAACTTGATTTCCGCACCCCCCTTAGGAATTTCAAATATAACACCTCTAAAACTAGAGGGTTTTTTTTTTTTGTTTGTTTGTTTGTTTTGTTTTTGGAGACAGTTTCTCTGTGTCGCTCTAGCTGTCCTGGAACTAGCACTGTAGAACAGGCCAGCCTCAAACTCACAGAGATCCTCCTGACTCTGCCTCCCGAGTGCTGGGATTAAAGGCATGGGCTAAAACCAGAGTCTCGATCTTTTTCTCTGTACTCAAATTCTCACCTTTCCATGTCTGTTTCCATAAGTGGCATGTCCACTTTCATGTGACATGTCTGTTTGTTCAGTTACACTGGGTAGAAGCTTCAGAGGCATTTTTGATTTCTTCATCCTGTGTGTTCATATCCTCTCCAAGTCCTGTTTTATTTGCAGTGTATGTCTTGCATCTCTTTCTGACCATCTTCACTTTTACTTTTCTAGTTCAAACCGCAGTTCTTTTTCATGTGGACTTGATCTCTCTGGCTCCTATTCTGGCCTGTAAAATAGTAATAAGAGTTCTCACCTTAGTGAATTGTTATGAGTGCTAGAAACTTGGTAAAGCATTGACACACAAAAACTTACAAGTAAGAATTAATTGATATTGTAATTATGAGTTAAACATCTACTTTCCTATCGGATCTTCCTGGTTTTTTTGTTTGTTTTTGTTGTTGTTTGTGTTTTTTTTCTCTTGTTTTCTATGCTCCTCCATTCATTCAAAAATAACATATAATTTCTTTGCTTGAAATCCTTCTGTGACTTTCCCATTGCTAAGGTGCTTATTACTTTAAGATAAAATTTAAAATCCTGTTCTGGGGATATGGTTCAGTTGCTTGCCTAGGATGACGACTTCCTGGGTTTGAGCTCCAGCATCATATAAAGCTGGCAGAGACAGGAGAATCAGGAACTCAAGGTCCTCCTCAGAGGCACCAGCCTAGGCTGGGGGGGGCAGTGGTGGGGGAGAGTCTACATAACCTGGTTCTTGCCTACTTTGTTAGCTTCATCTTCTGACCTCTTTCTTTCTCTTTTCTGTATCTCTTTTTTTTTTTTTTTAAGAATTTTTTTTAAACTTTATTTTATGTGCATTGGTGTGCATTTTTTTTTATTTTATGTGCATTGGTGTGAAGGTATCAGGAATTACAGTCAATTGTGAATTGCTATGTGGGTGCTGGGAATTGAACCCGGGTCCTCTGAAAGAGCAGCCAGTGCTCTTCACCGCTGGGCCACCTCTCCAGCCCCCCCCCCCCCTTTCTCTTAACTAACCTTCAGCCATACTGGTTTAGTTTGTGTTGACATACACCATTTCTAGCTTAGGGCTTTTGCACACTCTACTTTGTCTGGATTGTTCCAGCGCTACCGTCCTTCAATCAACTATGCCTTAATTTTCAGCTTAAGCAATGCTTTCTTAGTGAAGCCTTCTCTTGATTTTTTTCTCCTCTACTCTCTTATCCAGGTTAGATAAAAGCTACTTTAGGCAGAACCCAGTCCTGCAAATGTAACTGATCTCTTACACACACACACACACACACACACACACACACACACACACACACACACACAACGTAAAAAAAAAATGAAAATAAAGCGACTCACTTTCGTTTTCATTTCTCAAGAATTGGATAAATGAATCAAATTGGAAATTGCCGTAAACTTATAAAGGTGTAGGATGCTGTCTTTTGAAAGCATAAGTTTTCTGATAATCTTTCAGCAGACACTTCATTCTGCAAAGGAAAACAGATGGGAATGTGGCTCAGCTGTAGGGTGCTTGCTTAGCATGCTGGAAACCTGGACTCTAGCCATAGAGTTTTTAAAATGAGCAGGGGACAAAGAGCAACACAGGGTCTCCAGTTTAGGATATTTTTACTTACTCCTGTGTTATCAAATCATTCTCGGTTTTGTTGGTTTGTTTTTTCTTTCGGTTCTTTTGAGACAAGGTTTCTCTGTGTAGCTTTGATGCTTGTCCTGGAACTCGCTTTCCAGACCAGCTTGGTCTGGAACTCACAGAGATCCACCTGTCTCTGCCTCCTGAGTGCTGGGATTAAAGATGTGTGCCAATCCTCCACCCCCGCCAAATCATCCAGATTTTAGACAGTCTAATGTTAATAAATCTTTTCTTTTGTAGATTAGAGATAAATCTTTAGATCAGATTTCTTCTTTCCATTATGACAGTAACTTCATCTTATTTGTATATCAGTCTTATGGACTTAAAAAAAATCGTATTATTGGTGTGGTGTCCATGTGGATTGGGTGCATGTGTACCGTTGCATGTGTGTTGAGATGGTTAGAGGATACCTTTCAATAGTCAATTCACTCTTTTCACTGTTGGATTCAGGGATTGAACTCATGCCATAGGCTTGGGCAGCTAGTGCCTTTACCTGCTGGGCCATTCCTACAGGCTCTGGTTTATGATTTTTTTTTGTTGTTGTTATGAAAGAAGGTCATTGAGAATCAGAGTGGTTTATATATTTTACCAACAGATTAAATTGAAACTAAGATGAGGTTTCTACAAATATATAAAACAGTTCTTGGTAGGTAAGGAAGTCAATATTAAAATTTAATAACATGTTTTAGGACTTAAAGAGTTTATACTGAAAACAATAAAAATATAAAGTGTATAGATGTCAAAATTTTATTTTCCAATTCGTAGTGAGCAAGTAAAAATGTTTATAATGGAGTTAATAGTATTAGTAGCACGTGTTTAGCACTTACTGTTTATTTTGCTGTAATATACCAGAAATGTACCTAAGTTCTTGTGCCTGATTAGGGAGAAGGCTGTGAAAACACCTAGCTTGTACTTAAGTTCCTAAAGGGGGGAAATGGTTCTTTAGAAACATTATTGTATAAAAGGATTCATTGATAAAATCCTTTGAGAATGGTGACTGGGAAGTGACTCATACAATTCATTGATGAGGAAAAAAAGGCAGGGAAAAGGTTTTGGGTTTGTGCATAGCTTTGTCTCTTGGTGACTCTATATTAATTTCTTTTTTAAAAGATTTGTTTACTTTTATGTGTGTTTCTCCTGCACGTATGTATGTATGTATACCACATCTATGCCTGTTGCTTGTGGAGGTGAGAAGAGAATATCTCGCCCAGAACTGGAGTTGTGGGTGGTTATGAGCCATCATGTGGGTGCTGGGAATCAAGACCAGGTCCTGTGCAAAAGCAACAAGTGATCTTGACTACTGAGCCATCTCTCTAGCCCCCTGCATCTATTTCTTAATCTCTGAAAGCCTCAGTTTCCTTTATCTGTAAGATACAGTGATAAACCTTGTCCTCTAAAATTATTACTATTAAATGAAAGTGTTTGATAGTTAGCACTGTGCTTAGTAAATGTATAAAACTTACTGGATAGGGTGATGTTTTAAAGAAATGAGTTTTTGAATTAATTAACTTACTTATTTTGAGACAGGCTGTTATATGTAGCCCAGGCTGGCATTGAAACTCACTATGTAGGTGAAGATGAACCTTGAACTGCTTCCACCTCCCAAGTGTTAGGATAGAG